GATGATGGATGAGTGTGTTTCCAGGTGCGATCCAAGGGGAAAAGGGTGGGAGAAGGAGAAGGCAGGTGTAAGGTCACCGTGCCCCGGGAGAAGGTGCAGGGAGTGCCCTAGGGACAGAAGGAGGGGAGCCTTGTCCTGCAGACACGTGAATTGTCAGCAGTACACTGGGTCTCTGCTGGCATCATTAAACTTGGTGTGTTCTTCAGTGTCATAGAGTGAACACAGCCGTGGGAAGGGCAGGCGGAACGGAGTTCCCAGTCGCAACCCCTGACTGGTGTAGGAATCATCCTCTTCCTCCTCCGTACCTGATAGAATGACCAGCATTCTACAGAAATAAAAGGCCTTGCTGTAGCTTACCAGATGTTCTGCTCTACTTTAAGCAGTGGCAAGAACAAATCAGACTACATCAGGAAGAAAACTGTGTTTTAAAGTGCTGTCTTCCTGCACACTTTTATCTGCAGCACCCAACTGCTTGGGATCTCAGGTTATTCACACTAACAGCATCAATAGAATCATAGAATCAGCCTGGTTGGAAGAGACCTCAAAGATCATCAACTCCAACCCTACTGTGGTCACTGGACCATGGCACTAAGCACCACATCCAGTCTCAGCTTGAAAACCTCCAGGGATGGTGAATCCACCACCTCCCTGGGCAGCACATTCTCAAACTGATGGAAAACTTAATAATTAAGTTCAAACACAGATCTTTAGGCATTGCATTTCATTTTTAATTCTTCTTACCTGTTCTGTTTGGTTTTTTTCAAATCCATTTGCACAATCAAAATGACTCACCACTGGAGCCTGGTTTCTTACTTCAGCAGTTTATAAGTGGAAAGTCTGTTTTTACATCAGGTTTTATATTTTTGGATCTCTTACAGCTCGAGCAGTTTGTTGACACTGACACTGCAGGGGATTGTGATGCTGCAGCCCCTCATTGTCTTCATTTGGGTTCCTTTGAGTTCCACATATGTTAGTGGTCCTGTGTTGCAGCTGGAGTTTGTTTGTAGCTGTGTGCTACTCTTGGGCACAAAGTCATTCATGTAATTATACCAGCAAAAAAATGTGCTTTTCTGCTCTTTCACTGCCATCAGAATTAGGCCTCATACCTGGTCTAATTTCTTCTGATTCTTCTGATTCTTCTGATTCTTCACCTGATTATTCACTGCTAATGATTGCTCTCTGTTTTATATAAAAAGATACCTGGAATTCCCAGCAGCTTTGATTATCTCTGCAGGATTTTGAGCAGTAGGATGAGTGACTCAATAGAGTACTTTTTCGGTACAAATGTTCAAAAAGAGAAAAAAAAGTCAGACATGGGCCCAGAGCAACAGCAGATGAGGGTAAAAGAATTCTGAAGCCTGTGTTCAGTGCCATCATGTGAGCCTGAGTGGCACATCGTGACTCTCTTTTCCAGCTGGAGTGGGTAACATAGTGTCATTTATTTCAAAAACTCTTTGGGAAATACAGCTGAGATTTGGGAGGAATTTTGAAGCCTTTGGGTCAGAAGTACGTGTGTGTAAAGCAGGATTGTTAAACCCATTTGGGGGCAGTTCTTTGTGTAAAGTAGGAAGAGGATGAGGGAAAGGTACCACAGGGATTTGTAGCAAGGGGCAGGTGCTGGTGTTTATTTCAGAGCACAGCAGGTTGTGCAGAGCATAGAAACGATGAGTGAGGGATCAGAAGTTTGGTGATGTGCAGGAGTCCTTGCTGCAGAGATGGAAACTGCGCTAATGCAGAGGATAGCTGAGGTGTAGTGTCCTTACCCACAGTGTGAGGTACCTCTGAGGGACCTTTGTGCTTCCTCTCCATCACCTTGAACAACATTGATGCTCCTGTGATTTCTCCACCTCTTTGTTGCTATTCTCATCTGACAGCCCCTGGAACAAGACTGCTCCTGGAATTCCACGTGTCCTCGGTCTGCTGCTTGTGAAGGATGTGACACAGGAACATCCTGGAAGGCGAATGCCTTTGCCAAGCAGGTCACACAGCAGCATTGCTGGTCTGGCTGCACTGCGTCACTGAACCATTGACCGAGGACACTGCTTGTTAATTCAGCCATATTTAGGATGAAAGTCTTGTCAGGACACCAACTATCTAAAAATAACTGGACTAGCACCTCTTGAAATAGTGCCAAACATCCACAAAAAGTCTTGGTTAAAAAGCAAAACAAACCCGTTTTTGACATCAGCCTACAATGTGCTCTCTGTAGCTTTTTTTTTTGCATTGTTGTACTTTGGGCTTCCCTAAAGACCTGTTGCATTGTTTACTGTGATTTCAGGATAAGAGCTTTGGGGAAAATTTTCCTGAATTGCTGTTTGTGCTCAGCATTAGCCTTTTGTGTAAATGTTCAAGTGTTTTGTTATATGTAGACCCCAAAAGCTGTGGCCAAGGAAGGCCCAACTTTGCCACAGATGGGCAGTGCTGACCCCTTCCTTGGGCAGAAGGTGTTAGGAGGGATCCTGCTGTTGACTTAGGTGGAGTTGGAGAGGCAGTGCTCAGGACAGGCTGTGTGGGAATGCCAGAGTTCCCAGACTCCCTGACCAAAATCCCCCTCAGGCTGGATCTCTCCTGCTGTGACCAAGAGCCATAGTGACTAGGTTTCCTTTTGTATTCCCATCAGTTGTGCTGGCTTTCCCCCAGTGCGTCTCTGTGTGCTGATGGACTATCCTTTGCTAACTGGGAGTTGCCTATGGATTGGTGCAGGAACCTGTCTGCTGCTTCTGGTGGAGGCTGGAGGTGGAGCAGGGTGTGGGTGCAGCTGTGAATCAGACATTGCTCCCTGGCGTTATCAGCAGGCTTGGCACAAGCGTGGAATCCTTCCTGAAACAGTGAAAGGGGTTGTGTGGGGCAGGGACTTCACTTGTGCTGAGAAGTCAGTCGAGCTGATACCTGTGCAGAAGTAGCTGCTGCTCCAGGCTCCAGCCTGAGGCATATTTCCACATGGCTGTGCTTGTGCAGATCTTTGGCTTGGCTTTTGTTGTTGCAGCAGCAAATGCTTTATCTGCTTTCAAATAGGGCTCTGCTAAAGTGGTTGTCTTTGAGCATGTTTCCTCTCCATGTGTCCTCTTCCCTCTCACAGGTTCAGTCTCTTACTCCTTCCTGTTCTCTTGACCAATGTACTTGGTGTTTCTGCAGCCTCATCTCTCTTAGACTTGGCTCATGTTTTTCGTGTTGCTTTGCCTCTCACTGGGGCGTTGGGAAAAGTGCTTATTTGAAGAGGAGAGCCTTTTTCATGGTTAGAAAAGGGAAAACTATTCCAGATCCTGCATGTGTTATGATCTCAGCCATGATGATCAGACTTTTTGCCAATCATAATTTAATCATTGAGGAAAAATAGTGTTTATACATGTTTTTAATATAGACTGACAAAACTGATCTGTAAAAGTGAATATAGATTATCCTTACTTTATGGGTGAAAGCAAATTGGTGAGTTACCATTTCATGGAAGGCCAGTGACAGAGGCAGGATTTTTTTTCCCATTTTTCTGATACTCATGACCACAATATACCTTTGCCTTTGGAACATTAATTAATTTCTTTAACTTTCCATTGTTACTCCTGCAGGGACAGTAATGTGTTTGGGTGTGCCCTGCGTCAGTCAGCGTCATTACTGTTTCCATAATATGCAAAGCCAAAGTCATTCAGAACTAACTTCATCTCTTGTATTTTGACAGGTTTAAAAAATGGCTGAAGATGGCAGCGATGAGACTATGTTTATTTGTAAGTATTAGGAAAATGATCTAACTCTCATGATGTGTGACTTGTCTATTCAGAATGTTTGAAATTACAGACTAAAACAGACTTCGATTTTATTTAGAAAAGTATTTTGTGTAAAGGAGGCTCCTTATGGAGGAACAGAGAGAAGGCTGTGTAATTTAAGCCTACACATTCTGGTTCTGTTGGCAAACACACAAGGAAACCTCTGAATGGGAGTTAGCAGAACAGCTTTCTCATGGCTGAAGTAAGTGAGATTGAAGGCCTAACACTGGTGTAAGCCCTTTGTTGATTCATCAGCTTCAGCAGCCAGGGGTGTCTCTGTGGAAAGTGACTTCTAGCCTGATTTGAAGACCTGCACCAGCCTGGAGATGCAGGATCTGGTGTTACAGTGGAAAAAAGTTAAGAATTGTAGAGTCTGCTCATCTTATGTGAGCAGGAAGGGCCCAGATATTGTGAATCTAATCAGGGCAGAGCAGAATAGAGCAAAATGGAGCAGATGTCCTTCATTTTTGTATCCACGCAGTGTTTTACCCCAATGGCTCCACAGCAGCACATTAACCTTATGGCAAATATATTAGAAAGTTCCAGTTTTACCGCCACCACAGATTCCTTCAGAAATAGTACTGACTGTTGGCATTTTTATTGACTTGCAGGTACCAGTAGTCGTTACCTTATCTTTCCTTTTGTGAAAAGATTCTGTTGGGTAACAGCAAGAATGGGGATGTGGTACCATTTCCTAATTGCACACATAGAAGGTGTCACACACAATTTTCTCCCTTCCAGTGAAGGCTGTGCTCTCTGAATATCCTGAGCTTTCTTCTGCTCTCTGTAATTAGTTTTTCCCGTGGGATATGGGCTCTGCTTATGTTCTGAACAAGTGAGTTGTTATAAATGATACTGTGCACTCCCATAATTAACATCCTTGAATATGTATTTCATAGACAAGAGAGTTTTGGAATACCCCCCAGGGTATTTTACCATTATTCCCATGCTTATTTTTGTATTTTCCTTGTGGCTTTTATCCTGTGAAAGTGTCACATATGGGAAGTGTTACAGCTTTGGGGGATGGCTGCTGTAAGGCATCTCTTAGATATTGAGATGTGCCACACAATGCCAGTATCATGTTCCCCCTGCTTTGATCATTCCTCTGCAGAGGAGTGAGAGGAATGTGTAGCTTATTCCTGCATGTAGTTATGGACAGTGGTGTCTGCACCTTGCTGAACCCTTTGCAGAAGTGAGGAGTGCCTTGATGCAGTCAGAAGAGAAGGAGAATGACAAAGTGCTTCATTTCCTTTGACAGCAAAGCCTGTTTGAGAAGCTGTTGCTCTGTCTGTTCCTTCCTGTGCCCATTGGTTATGACAACCCTTTATGGATGGTAATCCAGTTCTTTGCAGCAGGCTGGTTTACACATTCCTCTGTGGTGCCTCTGCCCTGTCTGGTTTGGGGAATCTGTATTTAGCCCAGATTATTTCTGTAATATTAAGCACAGTGTGAGCTACAGGCACACCTAGAGGGGGGAGTTGTGGTGGTACACTAAACAGGGCAGCTGGGGGCTGAGTTTTGATGCTGGTGCTATGTGGATAGCACTTGCCCATGGATCCTTTCCACTGATAGAGGTGTCTGGTGCTGTACAGCAACCAGACTGGGGAATTCATTCAGCTGAAAAATAAACTGTTGGGAGGAGCTGCTCGTTTTGTTTCTTGGTTCACCAAAAGGCAGCATGAACAGCTGTACAGGGGGTGGTGACCAGGCTCGTGGGTTGCACCAGCCAGTACTACCCCTCATCAAATATAGGTGGATTTTCCCTGCTAAGCTGTTTTTGTTGCCAGAAGAAGGAACAACATGGAGCTGTGTATTGCAGTTTGGGATTCCTTGTCTTATTAGTCCTTTTGTTCATCGGGACAAATATTTGTGGGGAGGGGTTTCCACTTAGGAGTACAGAGTAGCTTTACCAGAGGGGACATTCCCTGGAATGACATGGATTTTGTTGTGTCTCTTCCCAGACAAGGTGGTAATGACCCTCTACTTTGCATCCTTGGTGGGGTTCCCTGACTTGTCCTTATAAGTGTGGAGCTCAGATGGAAATGGCACTGCAGGAACATAACCCTTGTGTGATGATCTCTTGGGAGGCTGCGTTAGCAGCTGACCAGGCAGGGCAGTTTGACAGCTATTTTTTCACACTGAAGCAATATATATATATATATATATATGCATTTGGAATCCTGTTAAGTTAGCTTATTTTAGCAAACCTCAAATTATCCTGGTCTGAAAATTGCTTCGTAGGAACCACTCAGTTCTGGGTAATTTACAACCACTTAAATTAAAAGTTAATTTAGATAAGCTGACAGTGAATTGAGTGGCCAGAGTGTGTTGTGCAGTCAGCTGACTTGTTTGGAAAGGCACCAGAAGGTATCTTGGAGGTCTCTCTCCATGTGAGTGAGAAGTGTGTGTGGGCCAGGCATGGCTCTGGGCAGTGCCAGGCTCCCACAGAGAGCCCCTGCCCTGCTGAGAGCCTGTGCCAGTTCTGCTGCTGGTACTGGGCTTGTGCCTCCTGTGGCTGAAAACATCACACTACCCAAGCTGTTCCTGAGAGCCAGGGTGCTAGGGAAGGTAGTAATGTGGTTTTCTTTTGCTGCTAGATGTTGCAGCACTTTGTCTGCAGAATAATGCCATCTTTAAGCAGAATATTTACTGTGGATGTAAGGCAATTATTTTCCTTTGAGAGAGAATTTAAATAATTGTCTTCTGATAGTGCTGATCACAGTGTGTGTTATCTCACCTACACAGGTGCCAGCTATCAGCTTGTTTAATTATTCATGTTCTTTTAAGCAATACAAATAAACATCTACCTCTCTATGTATGTATTTTGCCTGGTGCTAGGTTTTGCTTGAAGGAAGGAGGCAGCTGTCTTAAAACAATGTTTTTCATCAACCTTTTCTGGCTGCTCTCTGCTTCCTTGCAGGGTGTGAGGACTGTGGGCAGTACCATGATTCAGAGTGTCCTGAGCTGGGCCCAGTGGTGACAGTCAAAGACTCCTTCGTATTGAGCAGGGCAAGGTAAGGAATATCTGTGTTGGTTTGGACTAACCCAGCACCCATGTTAGTCCTTTAAAACATACTTGCTGCTTAATGAATGTCATGCTGACAGGTGAAAAGTAAAGTCCCAGTGGACTACAGAAATATTTGGAAAGCACATGGCCTTGATTAAATACGAAAAGTGATGCACACACTTAAGTGCTGTACTGAATTGAAGCCAAAAAATAACTTGCTGCTCATCAGGACTTGGTTTCTTTGCTGAGGTTTCTGGCAAAAAGTCAGGTAGTGCTAGGTGGGGTGATGACTTCTGTCATGGTTGAGTACCTGCCACTTTTTCCCCTCCTCAGAGGCACTGTATTAATTTCAGAGGGTGTGTGAGGATTTCTCATTCATATGAATGGTTGTATCCTCTTGTTTGTTATGAACTGTGTCATTCCTCCACTTAGAAGCTAAACAAGTTGTTCTCATTATTTTGGGTCTTTAGGAATGACTAGGGGTAGTAGTTCTGTCAGAAAATCTGTGACAGCACAACGGAAACACTCATGTTTGCCAAAAGAAACAAATAGACTAAATCTAGTTGGCAGAAAAAAACACTGAGTAGTGATTTTTACAGAGAAATGCATTGTCAGCAAAATTCATATCAAGGTGTAAAATGTAAGACTAAGGAGAGCCAACTGTTGTGAAGATGTAGTGCAAATCCAAAAAGGGAAGAGAGTTAAGTGACTTCATGGATTATATAATGTGCTCAGGGCTTCCATATTTCTTCTTGGGAAGTCACAGACAGAAGACATGGGTTCGTGGGCAGCAAGTCTGGCACATGCTGATTATGTAGGCCTTACTGTGTATTCCCAGGATCGTTTTGTGACAAATGCTGGATGTGCTGGATCTGCTGTGTGTGTGCCAGGACCCCTCTCTGCCTGGGCAGGATGGGCTTGGTGTCCCACTGTGTACACTGGCTGCACGTGGGCAGGAGCCGTTGCTGTTTTTCTGGGCCTTCCTAGTAAAGGAACTTCCCTGCAGCTCCTGCCAGGCATTGCCTTCCTGTGCCTGGAAACCTGCCCTGATGCCCATGATCTTTCCAAGACAATAGAGAATAGTCTCACTATGATATTGGACTGCTCTGTTGGCACCCTCAGGTGCAGCCTTGTCAGGTCCCTGGACTTAGGTGGGTTGGGCTTTGTCAAGTAATCACTGATTTGGCCCTTCTCCACTGCTGGTAGTTGTTCTCCTCTGTTTATTTCTAAATCCTCCTAGAAGCATGTATATGAAAACCTTGCCATCACCAGAGACTGGAGAAGTAGATGCTCACACCTTTCTTTCATGGGTTCCTGCAGTGTTGTCCCATGTGTAACTTTTTTTACCTCAGTTCTGTCTTTGATTTTTAGATCATCTCTGCCTTCGAATCTGGAGATAAGACAACTGGAAGATGGGACTGAAGGAGTGTTTGCTCTGACTCAGCTGGTGAAACGTACCCAGTTTGGCCCATTCGAATCCAAGAGAGTTCTCAAGCTGGAGAAAGAATCAGTTTTCCCCCTGAAGGTAAGACACAGAACATGAAAAGCAATAACAAGGAGTCAGTTTTACCTGTGATGATTTATACTATCAAACACTATGGAAGAAAAGTTGTGTGTAGAGGGAAGATCTTTTAGGCATGGCCTGTATGGACTAGACTGAATAAACATTCTCTGGGCAAGGTACAAAAGAACCAAACTAGAGGCTCATTCTGTGTTTGAAGGGAACATTCTTATAAGAGATAGAGTTGAGGTAAAGCCAGCAGAAGTGCTTGTCTTTCACCTCTTGCATGTGATGATACAAGAGGGACAGTGACTATTGCAGTTCAGTTGTTTTAATGAATCCTTAATTTGATTGTATTTGCTTAATGAACAAATATGCATTAGGTTTATGAAACATGGAGAGTAAGTGTGGTTTTTTTCATCTTCCATCTGTTTTATTCCTCTCTTGACAAGTTTTGGTAGTAAACATACTACATTAGAAATGGAATTCAGTCTTAGTTTTCAATAATACCTAACTCAGCAATAAAGCTTTAGAAATGTGGCTGGGGCTAACAGGTGTTTCGCAGTGTGCTGTTTGGATTCCCTTCCATTCTCTTGTGTACAGTCATTTTATTTGAGGAACTGGTGGTTACAGCAAGAATTCTTAGAATGGGAGTTTGGTTTGTTCCCATCTTGCCCATGGTAGTCTGTCTCAGGCTTACTCATCTGAAGTTTTGACTGATAGGTGAAACATGCCTGATCACAGAATATTCAGAGTTGGAAGGGACCCTTGAGGATCATCGAGTCCAACTGCTGGTCCTGCACAGGACATCCCCAAGAATCACACCCTGTGCCTGAGAGTGTTGTTCAAATGCCTCTTGAACTCTGTCAGGGTTGATGCTGTGATAAGTTCCTTGGGAAGCTGTTCCAGTGCTCACCCACCCTCAGGGTGAAGAACCATTTTCTAATATCCAGCCTAAACGTCCCTTGACACAGCTTCAGGCCATGCCCTTGGGTCCTGTCACTGGTTCCCAGAGAGAAGAGGTCAGTGCTGACTCTCCATTTCCTTCCATGAGGAAGTTGTATTCAGCAACGAGGTCTCCCCTCAGTCTCCTCTTCTCCAGGCTGAACAGACAACCATTTAGAATCATTTAGGTTGGAAGAGACCTCTAAGATCATCTAGTCCAACCGATGACCTAACACGCTATGCCAACTAGACCCTGGTACTAAGTGCCATGTCCAGTCTTTCCTTAAACAGCTCCAGAGATGGTGACACCTCCCTGGGCAGCCCCTTCCAAAGTGTAATCACCCTTTCTGTAAAGAAATTCTTCCAAACTGAGGCTTGCTTTGTCTCTGATGTACATTGAAAGGAAGCAGAAAATAAAAAGGCTTCTTAACTTTGTATTATTTCTTAGTGTTTTTATTATGTGCATATCTTTCTGGGTAGGTGTTCCAGAAGGATGGGCCTCTGGTGTATTTTGACACCACAAACGAAGATGATTGCAACTGGATGATGATGGTGCGACCAGCCACCGAGTATGAGCATCAAAACTTAACTGCCTTCCAGCATGACAATGATATTTACTTCACCACCTGCCAGGACATCCCACCAGGGACTGAGCTGCGAGTGTGGTATGCAGCTTTTTACGCCAAAAAAATGGAAAAGCCAGTGCTGAAGCAGGTCACTAGTATTGCCAATGGTATGTGTGGGGGCCTTTTTTCCTTCCTAAGGGCCCAGTGCTGACAGGGACTGACAGTCCCTTGCTGTTGTAGTTGACAGTGCTGTTTGTCCAGTAAGCTCTCTTGGCCTGTAGGGTCAGGCTAACCTGCATTCATGGATGCCCTTCAAGAAGAAAACATAGATCCTTCACCATGGTATAGCCAAGTTTTTTAACATGGATGGCCTGGTTGATGATTCAACCTCTTCAGAGTGAACAAACTGGATAAATAGTTCTGAACTAAAGAATTGGTGGTTGCATCAAAACCATTTCTGGGTAGAAGAGCAAAGGAACTCAAGTGTCAGTGAAGTCTAAACATATAAGCAGATTTGCTAAGAAGCCATTTTTCTTCAGTTGCAGTGGAAGTGTTTTGGTTTTGCACAGAACTGTTTCACAGTTCTAAAAAGCAGCTCTTCTGTTATGCAGCCTCACACAGGACCCACTAGAATAAGATAAGCTCAAGAGTGAACTGTGTTCCACATGATTGCTGGTGCGTTGGCAGAGAAAGGCAGCAGGTGTAGAATTACAATTGCCACAAGTCTGTTGTTCCTCTACCCCTTTGTTTCCTCCTACTTTTGCATTTCTGCAGCTGCAAGGCATGATCCTTTAGCATTGCAAGGGCATTTTCATCCTGCTCTTGAGTTGGGAACACTCCCTGCTATGCTGAGTATAATTTGGGGTGACAAATGCTTGAGGAGGGCTGTTGCCATCAGTGTTCTTTATGGCTGATCTTAGGCAGAATCTCAAGTGCTACAGCTGAATCAATGCAGTTAACAGGTTTCTGAATTCTGAGATGTTTCCAGTTGGTATTACCAGAGAGGTTTCCTCTTTTTAGTTTGAACTGTTCATATATTTTTGCATGGATGTGGGTATGTAAAAATACTGTTGAAATATGTCCTGCTGTCTCTGTTAAGCACTTTCACTATACACTCCAGAATATGAAAAGCACGTTGAATGAATCATAGAATTTATGGGTTGGAATGGACCTTACAGATCATCTAGTCCCAACCCCCTGCCCTGGGCAGACACCTCCTCACTAGATCAGGTTGCTCAAGGCTCATCCAACCTGGCCTTGAACACCACCAGGGTTGGGGCAGCCACAGCCTCCCTGGGCAACCTGTGCCAGTGTCTCACCACCCTTAGAGTAAAAAACATTTTTCTCACATCTAACCTAGACTTTCCCTCCTTCCATTTGAACCCATTACCCCTTGTCCTATCACTGCACTTCCTAACAAAGAGTCCCTCTCCAGCTCCCTTGAATGAGATTCAGGGCTAAGAATGTCCTGGTTAAGATTTTACCTGAGAATGTATTTTCCAGGCCTGTTACAGGTCAAAAGTTTGGACTATGTTTATTGCCCTCAGCACAGAGCAAGAGAGTCAAAGGGTCTGGAAAGTAAAGATAATGAACTGTTTTTCCTCTTCACAGATATGTGCTTGGTAGTGATGGAATCTGATAAAGAGGGGAATAAAGTCTCTTCCAAACCTTCATCTGCTGTCTTACCCCATAAAAAGACGAAGAAATCCAGCACACAAGCAGCTGATCCAGCAGGTATGCAAAATTACAGTGTTCCTAAGGGAGCCAGAGGACAGATAGGGGTGTACAGAGCTGTTAGGTATACCACTTCTATGCTTATAGTATGGTTAGATAGCTTTCAGCAAATATTAATTTAGAGAGGATTTGAAAATCTGGATTTTTTATTTGGAGTTTCATGGGCACAGTGTTTAAAATTCATATGTAGGTTAAAAAGTGGCAGAGGGACCACTTTTAGGCAGATCATTTTCCTGAAAGCCATAGTTCCTCCTGACCTTGGAGGTGGTTAGTGTTGGGGCTTAAATTGTAACCTGTGATCCTCAGGGAGTTATTGCAAGACAAACAAAGCAACAGAGATTTACCACCTTCCCATTTTCAAAGCTTTTCAGTGTTTCTTAATTGTTGTTTTTCAGTGAACACTCCAGAAGGCAGTGGAGCTGCAGAAGCAAAGCCCAGTCAGTGGCCATGTAAAGTGTGTTCATCTGCTTTCCCAGAGCCTCAGCTGCTGACAGGTAAGAAGTGCTAGAAATTCATGAGAGAGTACTGAGAGGTATCAGCAGAATTCTGCTCTTCCAGAGCTGTGAAGTCATGCACCATCCATGATGCAGTAAGATAAAGGTTGAATGTGTTCCTGTAAGAAAAAAGGGTTGTAGGGAAGGTAGAACAGTGATATTTTGGATATGGCACTGGTCAGTCTCTGGGCAAACAGTTGTAACCCTGGAACTAGAAGAAATAAAATTGTTGTCTAGAAGATTACATGTGACTGTCAGGAAAATGAGGGATGGGGAACTGTATGAGCAGAGCATGAGGTCAGTGATGCTAACTTACACTTAGTGATATTACCTGTCTGGTATTTATGGCACAGATTTAGTAAAGGTAATGAAATACATATATTTTTTCCTACGTTTCATTGTAGCTATTTTATGCAGTTTTCAAAAGAGCTTAAAATATTTAGAATCTCTGACCATTTGATGAATCATTTTTGAAAAGGGGACTTAGGCTGCCTAATCACTTGGGCATTTGGAAAAATGTGCCCATTATTAGAAGCACAACCTTTTTAACTCTGATGTCTGACAGAACTCTTTAAAAATTCAGTCCCTGTGAGTAATTGTTGCAGTATTTCATGGACTCTATGCTTTTATTTAGGAAGGTATTGTGACTGCTTTTGAAATAATTCAAAGTGAGTCTCAGATAGACCTGATAGATGTGCTTCAGTTGGATCTCTTGGAGTATTTCATGACAGTTTCTCTCCTCCTTACTTTCTTGTTCTTTCCCATCCACCCAGAGCACTTGCTGAGTCACCTGGAACAAGCCAAAGGTGCTCCCCAGACCAGCCAAAATGAAGCTGTGGCAAAGAAAGCAGCAGAAGCTCCTCCAACAGATCAGCCAGTGACTAGTGATGCAGCCAGTGCCAGCACAGACTCAAGGAGAAAGGCCAGGAGGGGAAGGAAGGCCAAAACAGCAAGAGCAGAAACACCTGTTGTCACTGAGAAAGAGAAAGATTCTACAGGTAAAAGAGAAGGCTAGAAAATACTAAGCATATGTCCCCTCATAGGTTTGTATTGTAGCCTTCTCAGAATGGCCTAAAAAGTAGCACAGAGATGGAATTTTTTTAGTGAGACCACTAAAGCAGATAATTTACAAACCTTATTAAAAATTCTGCATTTGAGGTTTTACTTCTAGCTGTCCACATGAACCTGTATTTTGTGGTGTGCTTGCAGTGGAACGTGTAGCTGAGGTCGTGACTGAGGTCCCTCCAGAAGAGGTAGCCCTGCCTCCAGCTGCAGAGGAGAGGATTGTGGATTTGGTTTTGGGAAAGATGCCTAGCACCACAAATAGCATCAGTTCAGTGACAAAGTAAGTGTTCTGGGATGCACAATTTCCTCTCAGGTTTAATTAAGATTATGTAGCATGTAACAGCTGTGCTCAAACTCTGAGCCTACAGATGCTCTCTTTTTTTTATCAGCATAAAATTATGTGCTGCTGCTACTGCTACAGGAGCTGACTTTGAGTGCCACAACGATGGCTTGTGCACTGGAAGGTGGTGCACTATTGGTGGTAAAATTTTGGAACATAAACGAGAATTTAATTTTCCACCATGTTCCTGCCTTTATTCAGTGTGATGCCAAAAGCCTCGTGCAGCTGCTGGGTGAAATATTGCTCCTATTGGATGCTGTTGATAAAACAGGCAAAGAAACACTTGCTATAAAATATGCTAACCATTATTACCATGTCATCTTAACTCGTGAATTACTTCATGTTGATTTTGCCTGAGATACTTCAGAATTAGAGCAGTGGGAGGGGAAAGCTTCAGTCTAACAGAACCTCAGGGAGACAAGTCTTAAGTATCATTTGATTAATTTAGATCTTTGTATATTTTTTTGTCTGGGTAAAATTGGCTTTTTGAATGATTTTCTTCTATAATAAAGCACTTTAATTTTCAAAATCAGCTAGCAGTGAAATATCTTGAAGTCCTTAGCAGACACAGAGCCATCAAAAATGCTTTTCAGCATGTGGTTGTGCTGGGAAATAGCACAGTGCTGCTGCTTGGCACCCTGCTGCCCTCTGATTGCATATGCCTTCTGCATGGGAACTGCCAAACTCTGTGCTGAAGCAGTGCTGATGTTTTCAGAGCAGCAGCAGAACAGATCTTTTATGCTCCTTTGAAGGGCCTGCAAAGAGAATCTCTGCTGCTGCTTTTTGTCTCATTCTTGCTGGGGGAAGATGATTTGCATCGAGCCACACTCTGACACCTGCTGCTTCCAGGGGGTGGCCAAGGGGATACCTTGGCCTTGGGAAGCTCCATCCAGGCCTCCTCCCTCCTCCGAGGAGCTGAGCCTAACACTCTAGCTTTTGCCAGCTGGTGGAACTCTCTTGCAACCTGTGGGATACCTTTCAGTCCCTGCCTTTTTCTCTAATCCAGTAGGTTTGCTCATCACCAAAACACCATGTCCCTCAAAAGAAGTTTAATTCTCTCCAGTAGACATGGTATACGGCGGAAGCTGATAAAACAGCTTGGGGAGCACAAGAGAGTCTATCAGTGCAGTATCTGCAGTAAGATCTTCCAGAACAGCAGCAACCTCAGCAGGCACATCCGTTCTCATGGTGGGTTTGCTTTTGCCTCATTTGGGTATTGATTTTGTCTCTCTTTGGTTCCCCCTTTGAGGAAAAGGGATGGGATATTCTTAGATTTTAGGATACATTCTAATAAGAGAGCTATTTCTTTTAACTCTTTCTAGGAAACACTTAATTATGCAGACCAAAGCATGAGAAGGTAATAGTTGAAAGTTGGAGTATCTGAAAGGTGAATTAAGTACATCTTTTAAATGAGGGCAAGGATATGATGTTTCTTCTGAAACTATTCTTGCCTTTAAATATACACATACATACCATCCCCACCTTCATATGCTGATGGGTAGCACAGCTGTTTAATGTCAGCTGAGTGCCTTTTTTGCTTGTGATCTGCAGTTCCAGGGATCTGTGGCCTATTCTAAGGATTCTGTGAAAAATAATCACTGAAGCAGGGTGGGGGAAGCAAGCAAAATCATTAAAAAAGGTTAAAATCCACTACTTAGATCTCCTGTTTCTCATCGCTAGCCTGTCTGTTTGCACTGCTTGTGCTTTGGTTTCCCCTGCCTTGCCTGGAGTTGATTATCATCAATCACTGACTCGTTTCCTTTTCCCTTGATTGATCCCCTCAGGTGACAAACTGTTTAAATGTGAGGAGTGTGCAAAGCTGTTCAGCCGCAAGGAGAGCTTGAAGCAGCACGTGTCATACAAGCACAGCAGGAACGAAGTGAGTGGAAATGACTGTCAGGCTCTTGCTGAGGTTTAGGTGGAAAGGTACAGTGAGCTTCCAGCTGGGCAGCTTGAGTCAGTTACATGTGAGCAGGTATCCCATGTGAATCAGCGAGACAGGACTGATAGGGAGAGGGAACATCTTCTGCTTGTGAATTTGCGAAGTGTGGATGTGCTTTTGTGCATACAAGTCCTGTTCTGTGTCTGAATTTTCTACAGAAAGTTGCTTTTATGTATCAGTTGCAGCAAGACTAGCTGGAGTTAGCTGGACCTATATGACAGATGAGATCTGACTTCAGGGTATGGTACTAAATAGGACTGTTCTAGCCTTGTTTGCTTGTCCTGCTTCATTTATGCCCACCTATAATGTCCTTTAATGTGTGAACTCTGTAAAGAGTGTGAACTCTGCTTGTTGGGGAGGGCCTTTTGGTGCTGCTGTCATAGAAATATTAAACATGCCTCAAGTGCCACCTTATTACTGAGTATTTCCAGTCCTGCTTGGCATCAAGGTCCTTAGCTGTCAGATTACTGTCATCTGTTCTGGTGGATAAGTCAGATTACATCTTGCTTCTCAAACGTTCTGTCAGTGTGTTAGACCAGGGGGTTATCAGGAAGACTGTTACATGCACGCAGGGATAGATGGTGGGGTTTTTAATATGTAGCTCAGATGTAGGAACATGGCAGGGTGATGGAGTGCCAGACTTTTGCACCAATGTGTATTTAAATGCCCTCTTGAAGGGAGAAAAATTGCAAAAGACAGAAAACAGAAGAAGTATTTGAGATTTAGAATTCGCTCTGTCAGGACATGCCTTGGCTTTTCCTCCACTTAAACATTTCATGTTTGCACTCCTCAGGTGGACAGTGAGTACAGATACAAGTGCACCACGTGTGACAAGGCCTTTCGGATAGAGAGTGCATTGGAATTCCATAACTGCAGGACAGGTGAGAATGGATAACCTTTCTGCTTCCTCTGGTGTCTGTACTCTGTTCTGGGGGATGTCCACAAATCCGTCACAGCACAGAAATTACAGCAGGGGAGTAGGAATTGAGATATTTATCATCACCACAAGAAACAACCTGCCCTGCTTCCCTCAAAAAAAGTTTTTTTCATGAGAAAAGTGTAACCCATGATCTATAGAGCAACACATGCACTTGTGTATTGTTTTTTTTAATATCTCCTGCTCACCTGTCCGACACTCTTGCTGGTATTGCATTTGTATGTTTGCAGATACCTTGTCATCATATCTGTTTGATTTTCTTTCTTGTAACTAAGTTCCACTTCATTTCTCTAAAACAGGAAAGGGGGCCAGTACTAATGATACCTTGTAGTTTTCAGGGATTACAGTTTAATTCAGCTTTCTCATGCTTTCTTAATACTTGGAGTAGTCTCTCTAGATGGGTTTTTTTCTTAGTATCACTAGACCTGTCCTTTTCTGCCATAGCCATCCCTTGTGGTTACTCATATTATTTATGCTGAGTGATTTTATGCTTAGAAAATGACATCATCATAGAATCATGTTCCAAGAGGACTCTCAGCTACTGAATGCAAAACAAATTCCCCATAGGCCTATTATCATGGAATGGTGGATTTTTGAGATTCTGTACTTTCTTCTGGAATATTCTGCCCTGGCTAGTGTTGGGAGCCAGTGCTGGCTGAAGTATTCTGGTGCTTAGACACAGCTGTTTGTGTGGTGCTGTGTTGCTGAATGTTTAGTGCTTTTACCAACATCAAAAACTTGAATCCACTTTTAACAGAATCCCCTCCAAAACTTAGTTTTAATAGGTGATAGACCACAGTGGAAAATAGCCCATGCGAGGAAGTTACAATGCGAGATTTTATCTTCAGGTTGGCATCATAAATATTTATTGTCTTTGGAAAAAAAAAATTGAAAGAAAAACACATGCTTTTGCATTCCCTTCCTCAATCCATACACTGATGGATTATATGCTAAAACACACATCCAACAAAAGAACTACCTGTTTCACAAACATACAAAACCTGTTTTCATCTGCAAAGAGCTGCATGGTTTCTCTTTGCTTACAGATGACAAGACATTCCAGTGTGAGATGTGTTTCAGATTCTTTTCTACAAACAGCAATCTTTCAAAACACAAGAAAAAGCATGGGGATAAGAAGTTTGCCTGTGAGATCTGCAATAAGATGTTCTACAGGAAGGATGTCATGCTAGACCATCAAAGGCGACACTTGGAAGGTAAGTTTGCTGCAGATCAACCTAATTGTGACTCTTGGAACAAGACATGACAAGAAATGCTTCTTCTGGATGGTAGCTGTCTTTTGATTTTATTGCCAGTTACCTGATCCAGAGGAGCAAGTTTCAGCAAAATGTGACATCTATGAAAAGTGGTAGTAATGGATCCTGGAGGGAATTTGTCTAATTTTGTGGAAAACTGTCGAGGACATACACCTACCATATTTTTCAGCCTCACGTGATTGAATCCAGTTCTACTAAGAGTCATGTGAAAGCTGCTTGGATTATTATGCAGTAGTTTAGACTGGCTGATTTTAATTATATCTTTTTCTATTCTTGGATTCTATTCTTTCTCCTTTAAAAAAATGTGTGGTAACTTGAAAATCTGAAGGCAGAGAATGAACTTGCCATGTAGAACTGAAAGTGAACTTGCCATGTACAACTGAAAGTGACTACTATGTAAATATAGTATCCATGGAATGCTGTGGGATGTTATCTTTCAAACACATGAGGATGTATGAAAATAAGATTAGAAGAGTTTACTGTTCAAAAATCTCAAACATCTAAGGATGTTACAGGTACTCAAAGACTCTGGAAAAATTTAGGAGTTTGATAAATATGTGCTAAAATGGCTCTAGGGATCTAGATGATAAAACCAAAGTTGAATTAAAAAAAGCAGCCAGATTATCTAATTTGGTGCTTTGGATGTAGGTGACTGTCACTGTCAGACTTTTGAGTCATGAACTAGAGGACAAGGGGTTGAATGACAATGGCAAGGTGCCTCATGTTTAGCTGTCACAGAAGAGCAAGAGCCCTCTTACCTCCTAAAAGTAACAGCAAAAGAGGTCTGCAATCCTCATTGAGCATTAATGATGATGCTGGTGGGTGCCTCTCTCCTTAGAGACTCTCCTTCCTCTCCCCCTCCTTAGTGAGAGGGAATTTCAGGGCCAAATATCCAAGTGAAGTGCCAAGACCTACTAGATCTGTTTGTTTCCAGGTGTTGACAAGCAATGTCTGTTATCAGACAGTTTACAATTGATGTAATAACCAACAAGTCATTACACATCACTGTGGCAACCTGCTTTGATTTTCTTAAGACACTTAATTTAGAAATTACCCTTTTGTTAGCGATTAAATTCTGCACCGAGGCTCTTCGCAGTGTTTCACTCTTCTTTCCAGTACTCACCTGAATGGGCATGCAGATTGGAGTGGGAAACCATGGTTTATTTTTGTTTTGTTTTTTTGATGGGGACTGTTCTGTGAAGGGGTGAGGCGTGTGAAAAGAGAAGACTTTGAGCACAGCACGGAAAACATGGTTCGCTACAAGAAGGAGCCATCGGGCTGCCCTGTGTGTGGGAAGGTAGGTGTCTGTGCCAGTGTGGAGCTCTGCATGACAGCTCCAAGGATACCACAGGGGTATGGAGTACTCAGCCCAGCACCTCCAAATGAGTTACTGTGGCACCCGCAGAATGTCAGAGTCCTTGAGGTTGGAAAAGACCTCTAAGGTCACTGGCTGCAGCCGTTGACACATCTCCACCATGTCAACTAGACCAGAG